TCACACATTTGTAATTCTGGATATATTTTTATTTTTGGTGGACTGCACTTATGTATGGGTGCAAGGTAACTTGTCAGCATAAGTGTTCTGATCATGTGTTTTCTTTTTTTATCTGGCAGCTGTGTGAAATTGCCTGCTATAGTCGCATAGAAGGTGGAGAGGTCTACTTTGATGATCGCAGCTTGGTAAGCTACATAGAGCTCATCTCATTTGATTTTCTCTATATTCATTTATTCTTTCATGTGTGTGATAACCTGGCTGATATCTTTCATACTAAGTGTTTTCTATTTCATTTATTTAGAGGCTTTTTAAGCGCCTTATCACTGAAGATATTGGAGCTGATTTGAACGAGGGTTATGATACATTTATTGCTAAAAAAGGTACATCTTTGTAACTTTCAACTATTGCTTTGTAACTGTAGAATTTTTATTTTATACTGTTATATGGGAGATATGCATATCAGAACTGATGTTACTCTTTTTCTTTTCTGGTTAATCCCTAATGCAGACTTAGGCTCAGAGGGCTTTGGTGACCTTCTTGCTTGCATTAGAGACAAAAATACTCCCCTCCAAAACATTCATTTTGTGGTATAAAGAGCATAGTGATTTAAGTTTTTGAAAACTAATAATGCTTTTACAATGTAAATTCTGAAGCTTCTTACCTTAGCCTTCTCTTTTATCTTTTGCAGACATTTCGTAACAATCTTAACAAGGTAATGTAGTCAGAATCTCTTCATATGAGAATATATGCATCATTCCTGTGAAGTGGCTATTACATTTGGGCTGTCAAATTTGTCTATTCTAATACTTTTTCAATGACTTCTTTTGCAGATAATGGCCACTGCTTATATCCGACATGAGCCTTGGGAAATGGGGGTGCATAAACGGAATGGAGTTGTTTATCTTGATGTGCATAAACTACCAGAAAGACCAAAGAGTGATTTGGATTGCCGGAGGTACTATACTTGCATATCCTATTATTATTTTGGTCTTTTGGATACTAAGAGAAGTCAAGAGAGCTGTAGTGGAACGAGCAGCAAACCAATGGATTGAACCCAAAGGGAGAAAAGAAGTACTAGGAGATGGGGGTTTGAAATTTCTGAAGTATTTGCAATGCTGACCTAACTATTCTTCCCCTAAGAGAGAAACAAAAAGCAAGGGGGTGGGGTACGGGCTGGGAAGAAGGAGAAAGATCTTGCTGAGGACAAATATTGAGATTGAACTAGTGTGAAATACGTGCATCAATTGGATGATATTCATCCCTTCAGTAATGTTTGGATACCCATGCCCTTCTGCCCTGTTTCATGTTGAGGCCTACATATAAACTTTTGGTAGACAGATGAAAGTATTGACATTAGATCCATTAAATTGTAGCTAGGTGATATGTGATTTATAAAGTAAAGGGGCAACAAAGTGAAGTTTTGCTTATAGAGCTTAGTTGGGAGATAAATGGCCTAATAGTAATTGATTGTCCTCATTGCTTTAATATCCTTTCTAAAATTTTGATCGTTAAGCTTTATAGTGAGTATGTTTTGAATCAGATGTTATTGGGGATCTTGTTTTGAGAGCCTTGCCACTGAAGATCCTAGAAGGTCTGATGGAGAGGGGATACACCATGTTGATGCCAATGTTGAATATTGTTCTGTGATCAAAACAAAATTAGGGGCTCACCGCATTTTGATGGGTGCTGAGATCGATTGCTGTGATTCAACTGATAATGGAAGGAGATTTTATGTTGAACTAAAGACAAGTCGTGAGGTTGACAAAGTTTCAGCTTCCTCGCATCTTACTTTTCCATTACTTCCATCCCATTTCTTCTGTTTTCTTGTTATAGTCATAATATAGGCTTTTAACATGATGTAATCCTCAATGATGCAGTTGGACTATCATACTCAGGAAAAATTCGAGAGAGAAAAACTGCTCAAGTTTTGGGTAAAGCTCATTGTACCTTATGCTGTGAATTTATATGCTTTCCTCTCGATTATTTCTACTGTATCTTTTTCAATTGTGTCCTTCTTTAGCTAGATTTTTGTTCATTGTTCATTATATTGTTTAGAGAATTGAGCTTTGTATTTTGGAGTTTAGCTTATATTTTTTTAAAAGAATTTTCTGCCTTTTTTGTTGTCTTCTTTATGATTCTGCCATGAGATCGGTTTTCTACTATGTAAAAATTACGAGTTCATTGGATTTATTCTTTAACAAGATCTCTATTCTTGATTGTTGCAGATTCAGTCATTTTTGGCAGGAGTACCATATATTGTCATAGGATTTAGGTAATTGTGATGATCATATCGTCAAAACATATTTGTTCTCGCACAAGCTTTCATATAATTGTTTGAGCTGATTATAGCTTGAAATGCATAGCAACTTGTGAGTCAGATATGCCATTCTCCACCAAGCATCCATTGCCAATGTGAAAGCTTGCTTCTGAAGGTTTGACTTGGTGTTATGGTAAAAAAAATATTTTGGCTGTAATGCAGAGATGATGCTGGTCGTCTTGTTCGGACTGAAAGACTAAGAACTAAAGAAATCACTCAGAGAATAAAAATGAAGAACTACTGGCAGGTAATTTTTGACCGCAGCAAGGTGCATGATGCTAATCTTTGCTTTGCTTGGTGATTGCAATGGTGAATCTAACATTACTGGCAGCCCCAAGTTCTTTCTTCCCTGTGGGCTCCCGACTTCACAGATGAGAGATGCTCCCATGGTCATTTTGGTTTTGAGGCATGAAGGAGGATTATATATGGCAAAAATTTGTTTATACATGCTACCATTCAATGACCACTTAATCTTAGGATCCTGATGGTAATGAAACTTGTTGGCAGGGTGGAGTCTGCGTGGCGTTTGCAGATGAAGTTTTATGCTGGCTCTATGGAACAGTCAAGGAGAGTGAGTATTATCGAATCATTCAGTTTTTCTTTTGAGCCAGCTGATTAAAAAGGAACATGACGAAATCTTGCAAAAGCAACTTGAATTCCCGTATCTATTCGTTTGGTTTATATGACGCAATCTCGCAAAATGCATTGTTTAAGTCCCAAATCTATTCGTTTGGTGTTTATTAGTAAGTAATATGCAGATGCCTGGTTTTCAGATGAAGATTACATATTGCAGTTTGCTCCACCTTTCACCCGTTTGGAGCTTCTACGGGCCCAGTCTTGTCCAGATGCAATTATTAGTCATCTTGAGCTGTTGTGAAGAATCAGAGGCCTTTACATCTGTTTATACAATTCAACCTGACAAGAAGCAGGAATCAAGTCTGGATTTTGCCCCTTAGGTTAAATCGGTTCATGGTTGTTTTGATACTTGATGGAAATCCTTGAACAGGAGTAAGCCGAATTTATTAATGAAGAGGAAATTACGCTGGGTTATAATCTTATACTGCTTTTGGGTTGAATGATACGTGATGGAGGGTGTGTTTGGGATAGCGGTGGCAGAAGTAGCTTTTTTTTAATCTGACTTTTATAGAAGTGAGATTGAGTAAAAGTCAGATAGTATAATGTGATTTATGTTTAGATTGAGTTTTGTCAAAAAGTCAGTTTGAAAAGCTGAAACTTGTTTGGATGATAAATGTAAAAGTAAGTTTAGATGTAAAATGATTGAAAAGGACATAAATTTTATTGAATGATACATATTTAATTAAAATTAAAATTATAAAAATAAAAATAGTTATTTTTAAGAATAATTAAAACTAAAATAATATATTTAAATTTTAGGAAAAATTGGGAAAAAATCCTCCTATTAAAAATATAACTAGTGAAAAGCATTTAAATCATAATACAAGCATTCTATATCTATAATATTTACACTTAGTATATAAAAATTTATCAATTACTTCTTACTAATTAAATTTTTAATACAACATTTTTCTCACTTTTCCATATATTTTATAAATGTGATAGAAAATAATAAAAAATAAAAAATTCGTTTTTTAAAAAATAGTTTTATTATTCAAAAAATAATTTCTTTAACATTAAAAAATGGCTGGGCTAAAAAATTTTTTTTAAAAAATACACATCATGCATAAAACATTCTCTCTCCTCCCTCACTCATGGGCCCCACCTATTCAACCGTGCTTGGAGAAGCTAAAAGCCATGAATTTGAGCTTTTGGAAAAAAAGTTGCTTTTAGCCATAAGTTCATTTGCCTCTACGTTCAATCCAAACATGAATTTTAAAGAAAAAGTTGCTTTTCTCAGCTTTTCTGGTGAAGAAGTCCGTTTGGGAGCCCTGGCCGTGATACCAAACACACCCGGAAAATGTTGGGGAATTACGAACGATTTTGATTCGCTGTAGAAAATTAGACTGGGCATCTCTCTGGAGAAATCTCCCGAGGTGTCTGTAATTCTCATGACTTTCATGCCCACAGAATAGACCTAGTAATGGAAATGTTAGGCAGAATACCAAGAAATTGTACTCTTGGACATTCGATGACTGTAGCTCGATGTCTACGAAGCAGTTTACGCTCACGAGGAAAAATTTAGTATTTATAATAATCTTTTTGTATGTCAGTTAACTTTTGTAAGCTCATAAATCTTGGTGAACATCATGCTTTAATTGACAATGTATTAGAAAATTCAGGTCATATTCAGATGTTATAACTGATGGTCAGTAGTAAATTTTGCATAAAGAGATAAAGAGTTAAAATTTATTTTCCTCTTCCGACCTTTTTCATTTTGGGGTCTTCCCCCATTCGATCCAAATGGATATAAATCCCTGTGGTTTTAATTTTTAACAATCTCCAAAATTCAAGACTTATTTTTAGCAATTAGTTGGGCTTGGGCCCTCGTCAGCTTCCGAAGATCAAAGTCTAAGTGAAATGGGCCCGGATGCGCAAGCAGATCCAAAGCAAGGTGGGAATTCGGGTTCCAAAAGCGGGGCATTGAGGGTTGGGTGTAGCGGAACGGAGAATTAAGATTCAAATCCTCGTTGAGAGAGCTGCTTACATTTAGTGGCTGATAGTGTTTTAAATAAATCCAATGGGAGGATACCTGGAAAAAAAAAAAAAAAAGCGACGTACTGGGACAGGGGCGCGATACACTGACTTGTGCTGGAGCCGATCATACTGGAAGAAAGCAACGAAGGCGAAGGAAGACGGGGCTGAAACGCAAAAGAGAAGAGCGAGATGGAGGAAAAGACGAATCCAGGAATAAGCGGTGATGCAATGGAGAGGATATCAGAGAGGCTATCGTCTTTGGAGAACCTATACTTCCCTCGCGCTTTGCAAGCAGCTGCCGCCGACCCTTCTCAACGGAAGGCCATCTTTTCCGACCTTCTCTCTCGAGACGTCACCCTTTTCTTAGGTGATTTCTCTTTCTTCTTCTTCTCTCTCTCTCTCTCTCTCAAAATCTTCTTCCAAAGCCTGTAGCTGCAGTTGCGAATTCCTCAGTTCAATTATTCAAGTAAGCTGAAGTGTAGTTTAAACAACAGGCAGCTAAAACAGTTGTTTCAGCATAATGAGACGTTTTTGATTGGCGGCTAGTTAAATGTATTGTTACTGTAGTAAATATTTTGTATTACCTGTAACTCTAGAATACTATATTACCATGACAGGTGTCATAACACTATTGTATACTTTTATCTATATATAGAATACGCTGGGCTACTGTAGAATAATCAAGGGAGCCAGCTTTCATTATTTTATTGTATACTTTTGCTTGGTACCAGAGCCGTCTTGTCAGCAATGGCAACATCCACTGGGAATCCCACCATTGACTCACCAAACCCTAGCCTCACCGCCGATACACCAATAAACCCCAATAACCTCCTTTCTTCATCTCAGCCGACCCCACCTGTTACCAACTCCCAAGACTCCACCACACCCACCATTGTCTCTACACCTATCATCACAGGTTTCTCGTCTTCCATACTGCCTTTCCCTTTCTCACCTTTTACTTTTGCACCACCAAACCCTAGCCTTCCACTCTATCATCAACCTCATCCTCTACTTCCATCCCCTTATCAACTTCACCGAGCTTCCCTTCAACCTCTCCACAACCCTTTATCCCTAGTCAACCATTACCACTAAACTATCCATATTTTTATCAGACTCCTAACATTCAGACACGACCTGTTCCACTGCTGAGCTCTTTGAATCAAGCCAACTCCATCAAGTTGGATGGAGAGAACTACATCACTTGGGAATCCATGGTACTCCCAATCATCAAAGGACATCGACTGGAAGGGTATCTCAATGGGACTAAACCTGTACCCACAGAATACACTGTTGATGCTGCTGAAAATGTGCATCCAAATCCAGCATTTGAAGACTGGCAGGCAACTGATCAGATCCTACTCGGATGGCTCCTTAGTACTATGACCGTCGACTTAGCCTCTCATATGACTCACTGCAAATCTGCATCCCAACTCTGGCATGCAGTGAAAGAACTCGTCGGTGCTAGCATAAGATCTCGAATCACCTTCTTAAAGAGTGAATTTCAAAACACTCGAAAAGGCACTTTGAAGATGAAGGAATATCTAGCGAAAATGAAATCAATTGCTGATAATCTAACACTAGCTGGCGCATCACTAGCACTCACTGATCTTATCACTCAGACTCTTGCAGGCCTAGATGGAGAGTATACACCGATTGTTGTAATGTTGACAGAGAAGGAGAATCTATCCTGGGCTGATCTTCAGTCCAAGCTTCTTACCTATGAAGCCCGTATGGACCAATTGCAAGCTGTGAACCAGTCAAGTATGTCAACTGCCTTTGCAAATCTCTCAGTTCACAACAGCAACTCAAACAAATTCAATACCTGGAGAGGAAGAGGAGGACGTAGAGGTGGAAGAGGTAGAGGAGGAAGAGGAAACTCAGGAAGAAGGTCTGACAAATACTGCATCCTCTGTGACAAACCAGGACATGATCTGTTGAACTGCTATCACCGCTATGACCGAAACTATAAGGGTCCAAAGAAGAATGAAGGTGCATCTGCCTACATTGCCACTCCTGAATCTATTTCTGACCCTTCTTGGTACTTAGATACAGGGGCTACCCATCATGTCACACACTCATCAGATAACGTTGACTCAAGTGGTGGTACTTCAGGTATAAACTCACTCTCTGTTGGTGATGGTGCTTCTCTAAATGTCACTAAATCTGGGAATTCCAAACTGATATGTGATACTCCTTCTCGGAACTTAGCCTTGAATAATGTTCTGGTTGTCCCTAAAATCACTAAAAACTTGATTAGTGGATACAAGTTGACTAATGACAACTCCAATATCTTTGTTGAAATTCACTCACATGGTTGTTTTGTGAAGGACAAGAAGCAGCATGAGGTATTGCTGCAAGGAGTGACAACACAAGGATCAACCCAAGGACTATATAGGATCGATAATGCTGTTGTCCCTGATAGAAGAAATGAGAACATTGGAGATATTGCTTCTGCTCATTTTGTTTTTGCTGAGAATAGACATGAATCAAATCAGAAATATAAACCAAGTATTTACCTGTCAATTTTAGAAACTTGGCACAGGCGTTTGGGTCATCCTAGTAGTAGTGTTTTAAAGCAAGTATTGAGTGACTGTAATCTCTCTTTGAAGTTGAATGAAGAATTTAAGTTTTGTGAATCATGTCAATTGGGAAAATCCCATAAACTCCCATTTCCCAAGTCTCAATCTCGAGCAGCCAACCCTCTTGAACTCATCTCCACTGATTTGTGGGGACCATCTCCCATTAAATCTGTTGCTAGTTACAAATACTACATAAGTTTCCTGGATGATTTTAGTAGGTTTACATGGATATATCCTCTTAAGACCAAGGAAGAGGCACTATCAGCATTTAAACACTTCAAAAATATGGTTGAAACTCAGTATGAAAGAAAAATTAAAGTCCTCCAAAGTGATTGGGGAGGTGAATACATATCCTTTCAGTCATTACTTGATGAGAATGGAATCCTTTTCAGACATCCATGCCCTCACACATCAGAACAAAACGGCAGGGTAGAAAGAAAACACCGCCATATAGTGGAAATGGGATTAACTCAATTGGCTCAGGCCAAAATGCCGCTCTACTATTGGTGGGAGGCATTCTCCACTGCTGTGCACCTTATTAATAGGCTCCCTACTCCTATATTGAGCAACAAATCACCATTTGAGACTCTTCATCACAAACGACCAAATTACACAGCACTTAAACCTTTTGGTTGGCTTGTTACCCTCTTCTTAGGCCATACAACCAAAACAAACTTCAATTCCACAGTGCTCGATGTGTGTTTATTGGTTACAGTGGCTCCCATAAAGGATATAAATGTCTCAGCACCACAGGGAGAACTTATATTTCTAGACATGTTGTCTTTGATGAAGATGATTTTCCTTTTTCCAGTGGCTTTATTAACTTGAAACAGCCTCAAGATGCTCGTGTAATGGACATTACTCATTCATTTCCTTTATATTTGCAGAACACTCACAATGTTGATAAAGTGCAGGATCACAACATGGAAAAAGCTACTGGCTCTCCAGCATTAATTGACTTGAGGAGCCAGGATGAAGAATCTGTACCTGAATCATCTTCTTCTGACAGTAACAAGAATCATCAAGATGATTCAAAGGAACCTGAGCAACTTGGAAACTCCCCACGAGTAGTTAGTCATGAACAGGAGACATCTCAGGACATCCTTGAACAACGTGAATGTGAACCATCTCACTCTATTGATGACCACTTCATCACTCAAGCACCTCCATCACAAAACATCCACCCTATGGAGACACGAAGCAAGAGAGGAATTTTTAAGCCAAAGATCCCTTACGTTGGTCTCACTCAGTCCCAAGATACTGTTCCCCACACAGTAGCAGAAGCCCTCAAGTCCTCTTTAGGAAACAAGCAATGATTGACGAATTCAAGGCTCTTCAGAAAAATAATACCTGGGTTCTTGTCCCACGATCACCAGACTTCAATGTTGTTGAGAACAAATGGCTCTTCAAGTCTAAATTCCATCCAGATGGAACACTTGCCAAGAGAAAGGCACGACTCGTAGCTAAGGGATTTCAACAAACTGAAGGTATTGACTTTTATGATACTTTCAGTCCTGTCATCAAAGCATCAACAATAAGAATTATTCTTACTATTGCTGTTTCTTTTCATTGGGAAATAAGGCAACTTGATATTAACAATGCCTTTCTAAATGGTTTCCTGATTGAACCTGTCTATATGGAGCAACCTGAAGGTTTTATTGATAAAACCAAGTCTAATCATGTTTGCAAATTATCCAAAGCGCTGTATGGACTAAAACAAGCTCCAAGAGCTTGGTTTGAGAGGCTGAAAAATTTACTGATAGAGTGGGGCTTCAAAAACTCAAAGAGTGATGTTTCCTTATTTATCTACTCAGACAAAAACCAGATTTTGATGATTTTAATATATGTTGATGACATACTTGTCACTGGAAGTAATTCCCATAGTGTAAAATGCTTCATAACTAAACTACACATCATTTTTGCTCTGAAAGATCTTGGGCCTATACACTATTTTTTGGGAATCGAAGCGTTTCGAGATAGTACAGGACTTTACTTGACACAGGGAAAATATATTACAGACCTGTTGAACAGATTTGGTATGAACAATGCATCACCATGTAACACACCTATGGCTGCACACAAATCCTTGTCAATACATTCTGTAGAACCCCTGTCCAATCCCTCCATATATAGAAGTGCAGTTGGAGCTCTACAGTATTTGTGCAAAACACGGCCTGATATCAGCTTTAGTGTTGGGAAATTGAGTCAATTCTTGTCCAAGCCAACAACTGAACACTGGAAAGCAGTCAAAAGGGTGTTAAGATACCTTCGTGGGACAGTACATCATGGCATCCATATAAAACCATCATCATTACTGGACATCATAGCTTATTCAGATGCAGATTGGGCTTCTTGTCTAGACGATAGGAGATCAATTGGTGGATATTGTGTTTTTATTGGTGATTCCTTGGTTACATGGTCCTCCAAGAAACAGAAGGTTGTTGCAAGGTCAAGTACAGAATCTGAGTACAGATCTCTAGCTAACACAGCTGCTGAATTATGTTGGATCTCTGCTCTTCTCTTCGAATTGAAGCTGAGACCAAAGAGAATACCAACTGTATGGTGCGATAATACAAGTGCAGCAGCTCTAGCATCCAATCCTGTACACCATGCAAGAACCAAGCACATTGAAATTGATGCCCACTTTATAAGAGACCAAGTTATGTCTAAATCTCTCAAGGTGCAATATGTTCCAACAGAATATCAAATAGCAGACTGTCTCACCAAGCCCTTGCATCATTCAAGATTCAGTTACTTGAGAGATAAACTTGGAGTAACTGTTGCACCAGTAAAGAAACAACAAGTCACCGATGGCTCAGAAAAGAAGAGGAAAAGAAAAGAGGTTCGAAGTGACAGAGGGAGTTAAATGTATTGTTACTGTAGTAAATATTTTGTATTACCTGTAACTCTAGAATACTCTATTACCATGACAGGTGTCATAACACTATTGTATACTTTTATCTATATATAGAATACGCTGGGCTACTGTAGAATAATCAAGGGAGCCAGCTTTCATTATTTTATTGTATACTTTTGCTCGGCTTAACGCGCCGGAAATTTTACTGATGTTCTGTATTGATTTAGTCTTTTTTCCTTAACTTGAATCTTGCATAGAACGGTATGGGTCCCTACTTACAAGCAATGAACTGCGCGAGTTTGATGCGCTGAAGTCTGACTATGAAATCAATTGGCATTTGAAGCGTCTTTGGAGCATAATGAGCCCAACATCGGAGGAGTTGAGGATGAGGTCAGTCCCTGTGAAGAACCGAAGGCGGGCATACTTGGATAAATTGATGTGCGATGGAGACTACTTCTCGGAAGATGCAATGAGGGAGAGAGAGCCGTATCTACATCACGAGTATGTGGGGAGATTTCAGGACCAAAGCGGCAGAGGCATGGCAAGGCCTGGAGAGCGGTGGTCGGAGACTTTGATGAGGAGGTCAGAGGAAGCATTCCTCGTTGCAAAAATTAGAGGGGAGCAGCAGAGGTTAGGCGTGGCTGAAAGGGACTGGATTGGTAATGAGAGGATTCAGAAGGAAGAGGAGGAGGAGGAGGAAGAAGAGAGGAGGAATGTTACTCGTGATAGACACCCTACTGCGGTAAGACACTATAAACTTACTTGCATTCTGTTTTGGGTTTTATGGGATATATGTCTATTATATTATTGTGTTTTCCAATTTGTCGTTGATGTAGAGGCATAATTGTTCTCTATTATGTCATTTACAACCGTTAGCGAGTGAGATGGCTGGCAATCTTGATGTTCTTTCATGATATCTTGCATTAGATCCTTGTTAATATTTGGTTAATTTGGTTTAACTAGAAGTGCATTAAATATTCTGCATGTTATACAATTCAGATACTGTCCAACTATTTTGATCTCACATGATCTTTCCTCACCAAGATGTCAGGGTACATTCTTTAATTTAATGTTGACCAAGTTGAAGGAGCTTCCCTTGGGGCGATGAGATGATAAATTTGAAACCTCAATGACATGTGAACTCTTGCATGTTTGGTCATATGGTTTCAAGTTGGTTCTCAATGATGTCATGGAAATACTGAAGATGACAATGAACATCGAATTGTTTAAATATAAAACCATTCACCTATAGGTTTGGCCTAATGTAAGTTTGCAGTTAATGTCTCCTTTGTGAAATGTTAGACTGGAACTGGCAGGATCAGTGCTACTTGAGGAAATCGATTTGTTGGGGGTGGAGATGGAAGAATTTCCAAGTTTTTAGTAAACATGATGATACAATATTCTTAATGCATGGACCGATACAGCAATTTTTTTTTGGGATAAATATAATTTCTCATTATGTCTTTTCATGGTTCTCAGTATTATAATGAATATCTATCTAAGCCCTTGGGACAGATTATTTATGTTAAAAATAATAAGTGCATTTATGTTAAAGAAGCCTGCTCTATACTTTTCAAAAGGAATGAGTTTTGGATGTTCTTGCAATGCTGGTGCTGCAGGGGCATATTTGATGTTGTTTCCCAGAGTCTTTATATTTCCAAACATGACTACATAGACAGACACACTTCTACTGGAATTTCCTAAATTGCCTCTTTGAATAAATGTTTATGTCCAAGATCAGGCCAAGGCATTGTTTCCTTTATATTGGAGTCAAGTTTAGGTGCTGAAGCATTGAGTCTATTGATCTTCTTCAAATAGGTATCAGGAAGAGAGAAGAAAAAGGAGATCCAAAAATATGAAGCATGAAAGTAGTTAAAATAGTAAGGCCATTGGGTCTTCTTGATTGTACATAGGCTCATAAAGTATATTCATATTCATGTCAAGGAAACATTGGCAGCAATAACCATGGTATTGTCCTGAAAGAATCCCTTCAAGAGCTTTGCAAAAGAAAATCACGTCACATTAAAGGCATGAATATTGTTCAAGTGAGTTTGGAGGCATTTGGTAGGTTGAATTGTGTACAGGGTCTTTGGCCATTGGGCTGTATTTTGTTGCCTTCATGACATCCTTTTGGGGAACCGCAATAATGATTGGGAGAAAAAAAGGAAAAACAAGGTTTTACAGGTTCTTCCATAAGAAAATGTTGTCTCTAGCTTTGTACATAGCATACCATGCTATGTGCAAGACTAATTTGCTTTTCATGAAAATGCAAAAAAAAACATACAAGCAAATAAATGTTAAACATTTGCATAAAAATGCAATTTAAAATGCCATTCCAAATTTGTGTAATTAGGTATGACTTTTATTGAGTAATGAAAAATGATTAAAAATTATGAATTTACCAAATATAATAATTTTAAATTATTATCATAGGAAAAAGTTACATTTAATAAATAAAATATATTTAAATTAGAAATCATAATAATGTGGAAAATTTTAAACTAAATAGTATTATATAATTAATTGGCTTGCGACAGAGTTATAGTTGTTACAGCATGTACTACTTATAAATAGAGGAGGTAATTTCAATATCATTATTTATATATAAAAATGTGTTATAATGTGTTGATGTTTTTGTGATAAATTAATATTGTTGATTATATTGATTGAAGTGAACTCTTCCCGTGCATCGCACGGGGGTTTATATGCTAGTTCATAAATAAAAGGAATATAAATACTACTTTATACTTTAGTAGGCCCTCAGATTTCACGAGGGTGTGTTTATTATCATCATCATTACTATTAGCAGTAGTAGGAAGACTAGTAGAGTCATGTGAGCGCATATATATACTGCCAGAATGGTCTCAGCGAAATGGTCAAGTCCACAATAGCCGTGTTTTTGGACTGGCTATTTTGTCTCCGTGTTCCTCTTGACTAATATTTTTTGAAGGATAATAATTATGAAGCAGAACTCCAAAGGTTTAGGTGTCTAAAAAGTTTTGTTAAAAAATAAGTTATAAATAATAATTCAAAAACTTCTAAATACAAGAGTTCAAGTTGCAAGCTATATTTTATTAACTCCTACTTCTAAATATAGGAATCAGACAAAATTTATTTTAATAACCTCAATCCACTTTGCTTTTTCTAAATTTATAATTTTTTTACCTAAAATATTATTATTAATTACACTTTAAGAAAGACTCCTAATCAAGAAGCATTTCTAACACAATGACTAAATAGGATAAAGATACTACCTCCAGTCTTTAATATAAGATTTTATTTGACTTTATTCTAGTCATAAATATTAGACTTCAATCCACTTTGTCTCTCATATTTATGCATTTTTTTTCAAGATAGTCCTCCTAATTATAGTAGCTATAACCAATACACTTAATTAGTAAGGATATTTTAGGAAAGACATCACATATTTATTACAAACAACTAACTTAACTTCTTTTTTTAACTTTCTTAAATTAATCAACTAACTTTTATAATTAGGACCGAAGGTAGTACGCTTGTTATAGATAATTAACTTAACTAATTTTATTTATTTACACAAATTAGTCATCCAGAAGTAGTATTAATTAACATCTGCTTAGACTTTCATATTTGTAATTATTTAAATTGAGTCTGATTTAATTTCCAACAAAATCTGTTGGAGAAACTTAAACTACTCCCTCTGTTCCTTATTATAAGAGACATTTGATGCTTATGGCATGTTCCTATACATAAGAGACACTTAAAAGTTGTCTCTACTTTTTTGTGTTGATTTCCTATTTTATCCATATTTATTTTGTCTCCAATTCACACTCTCTCTCCCTCCCACTTTTCTTTCTTTTAATAATTTAATTGTTCTCTCTCATGTTCTCTCTCCTTATTAATGACGGCATTTTTAAAAAAAAAAATATACTTTTACACATTGATTGTTATTAACTAATTTTAACTGCTTTTTTGATCAACGTAATCGGTTATTCGTCAAGGAACGGAAGGAGTATTATTTTTCCTGATATCTTCCGACAATTAATTCCTTGCACCTGCTAGATTCCTTTCTTTGAGATCTAACGTGTTGACCACGCAGTATCATTAACAATGACAACTTCGAAGATATTAAAGAAAGATCCGACAAACTCATTAAATTCAAATGTCAATCAGCAATTTTCTACGTGCGACTGCCCCTGTTGACTGAACTGTTTCGTCATCTCATGCACGCACGCACACACGCATAGTAGCTTCTAGAATTGATGCTTATGACTCTCCGGGCCTGCATGGACATGCAACAAAACACACGTAAAGTACGACAGAAAACATTATTATCTGTAGGCCGAGGGAGCTAGGCATCCACATTTACTTGTAATTATAACTCCCTGATTGATTAGTTGTGACTCTCTATATACATATATATCTGCAAACTAAAAGATTGGACCAAGCTATTATTTGAACTCTAGATATTAATCAAGTTGGCAGAAACAGTAACAAAAGTAACAAAAGAAGACAAAACAGCAACCATATATTTACTATCGATCTTCTCTTGAAATTGAAGATATATAGAGGTCGCCATACAAAATTCTTGAGGAAAGAATGAATATTTCCATGAAGAATGTAATAATTAATGCTCCTGCTATGCGCAAAATTATTGAAGAGATAGATGACTCTTGTTATATATATATATAGACCAATAAATGCCTTACCTACATATATGTGTATGTCATGCTAAAATCTCCCAATACTCCCAACACTTTCTTCCATCAGCAAGCTAAGTTGTTCATGCTTTCACAAAGGGATGGTCTAGTAATGCTGCAGCAGAAGGCCGATCGGCCGGAGTTTTTCGGAAGCAGTGTTGAAGAAAGTCTTTACCCTCTTGGCTTAACTTTTCTGGTATGGGTGGATGTTCCTCTTCAGCACAAACTTTAAAGGAGGCAGCCATCTGCTTAATTATTAGTAAATGAATTTGTTTTAGTTATATACTTAATCAATTAATAAGTTAGAGATCCATATATTATCTAAAGCAATGTTCGCTCTATATATATACATAGTGAAGTTTAAAAGTGTTTACCGGATTAAGATCAGGCCAAGGATGTTTCCCTGAGAACATTTCAATGATTACACAGCCCAAACTCCATATATCAGCAGCAGAAGCTTCAAGCCAGCTCTTATATTTTATTCTTTTAAGAACCTGTATGTATGAGAAATTAAACAAGTTTATTAAGAAACACTTTGTGAGGCATAATGTAGAGTATATGAAAAATATGTACCTCTGGGGATGCATAATATAGAGTTCCCAACACGGAGTGCTCGCCCACAGATTCTGCTAACTATTCAAACAGAAAACGCCAATTAAGTCATAAATATTACTCACTGTTGGGACTATCATTTCAGATTACTGCAAATATAAAGTATATCTAAGAACTTACATGCTTAGCCAAACCAAAGTCAACCAGCTTTATTACGTTGTTAGAATCGACAAGTAGATTGTGTGGCTTTATGTCCCTATATAATCAAAGTAAAAGAAGAATGAGAGATGGGGGGAATAAATTGGTTATGACAATCCCAATAAACAGTAGTTAATGATCAATTATGCTACTAGATGCAAGTGTGTTACCATGACCAGAACTCATGGAGGATTCCACGTTATATATACCTGTGAACAACTCTTTTATTACACAGGTAATTCAACCCAGAGAGAATTTGTGCAGTGAAATTTCGAATTAAAGATTCAGGTAAACCCCCTCGTTCCGAGATATATTTCTTCAGTGAACCTGGTCGGATGTATTCCATGTATAGCAAAATGTGGCGTCCAATCTAATTACATGCATGTGTAGAAAAATGTATTCGATCAGGAAATTGTGTATATATATAGTTCCCTCATTAGCTTCAAGTAGGAGAGTACTTACTATTTTACTTCCATAATACTTTACAACGTTGGGATGTTCCAGTTGTCCGAGAATTTTGATTTCCTGAAAACACATATACACTTATGGTCATGTTTAATTTGATACAATGAACTGTGAGAATATAATCATTTTATTCACTTGTGGAGGATTATATAGGTCTACAAACAAATTGTAATAACATAAAAAAGACGTACATTCTTTAAAGATTCTGCCTTTGAAGGTTCGCGGATGTCTTTCAGTTCCTTTATTGCACAAACGTCTCCGGTTTCCCTGTCAGAAATGAAGAACACATATTTCTTACTAAGAAATAAAAACGATAAGATCAAAATGTCAGTTTACTCATATACCTGTGTCTTGCAA